AATTTATCTTTTATTATCTTTATCATTCATATATATTGGAAGCAGGAGTGGCATCCACTTTCTAAGCAACATGCCTCCAGAAACTCTATGAACTTTGATAAATGTCAGTAGTTGTAGAGGGGCTTCACGCCTTTTGTTCAGAGGGTCACTATGAGTCATGCTCGACTCAAAGGCAATCATCATCAACAACATATACTTTATATTTCATGCACACACATTGTGTTTTATACCTCTTTCATTTACAGTATATTTCATTCATATATATTGTGGGTTCTTTCCCCCTTAGAATCATCCTATTAACTGCGCTTGTGAAAGCATGGAAGCCTTCATGCCTCATGCCCTACTACCCCCCTTTAAGATAGCCAATTTCTGATTTGCCCATCCCTATCAAACCAGTACTATGAAGAAATAAACATGTCCCTTTTGTTGAAGGATCCTCTGTTCAATTTGGAAACTTTGAGCATCTGTGTCCACAAGCAGAGTCCAGTCCAGAGCATACCATCAGGTTGCAGCACTTGGCTCTACCTCACAGCATGGGTCATCTTCTCTTCATCTGGTTGGGTTCTGCTCAACTTATCACCAGCCAACTGTGGCTAAGTTCAAATGAGCATCAGCTGCGAGCTCAAAAGCCCACACTCCTTCCTGTGTCCCAGACTTTTTGGGTTCCTCACCCAGACCCAGCCTTCACATGGGGCCACTTCAATAGTCCAGGGGTCTTTACGACTCCCTGCTCCTCAAGCCAACAACCTTCCCCGCTCATCCACACATCTGTGCTGCAAGGTGGGCAGTACTGAGGAAACACAGCCAAGCTCAGCCTGTCTCTCCATTGTTGTACTCCTCCCACTTCCACTCCTGAGGATCCAGGTAATCGCTGGGAGTGAGCATACTCCAACTTCAAGTCTTGGAGGTGGGGTCTGACTGTGCCAACTTGATTTACCCTGCCTCAGAAGCCAAACAGCTTCTTCCAGTTTAAAAAAGATAGTCTCTTCCTTTCCTTTTTTCTTTTTCCATCTCCCCATTCCTATTTTCCCTTTTTTAAAATATGAATCTCTGCAACGAAAAGTACAGTGTGGGTACATAAATTAATTCAAATTAAAATCTCAGAGTACTGGGTATGATGATTTAGAAACACACTAGTTTTCATGCCATCACCCACAGACATTTTGTTTTATAACATTAATTGCCATTGATTAATGTAAGTACTTAATCCCAACAGCTACTCAACCCATTATATCATTCCCTTTGCCCAACTTTATCTGTTCATCAGTTTTTACTCCCTTCTCCCTTTCTCCCTTCCTAACTCTAATACCCCCTAGATTGATTCTGTTTGTGTGTAAACCTTTCCTCACCTTTTTATGCTAGAGGTCTGAGGTGCTAAATGATTAGCCTGTGTGAGCCACCCAGCCCAGAAGGAAGACAGACTAAGGGCCAGGGGGTGAGATGGCAGTGAGATAACAAGAGTCAAACTTGCTGCATGGGAGCAAAATTGCTCCCCACAGGGCTCGTTGCTATGGATTCACAGCACCAGGAAAACTATCAGAACCCACTTTAGCAAGGAAAGCATCAGGTGGGGACTCCACCTGCCTTCACTACCAGCCAAGCCCTGAAGGCTGGTAAAAGATGAAGCTGGATTGCCGGTGCCTGGGGGCTGACCGTGCACAGTCTTGAGTGAGCAGCAAACAAATGAGCTAAGCAACCATTCAGAGAAGCAGACAAGGAGTTCTAGGGAGGGGGAAGCACTGAGATTTTATTGATTTTGTGGACTCCTGTGGAACTGGGGGCAGTGGAGCCAGAGCTGGCCAGACAGAGGCCAGTGGTGGACAGCTGAAGGAGAAGGTCTGCTCAGGAAGGAAAAGGCGGGAGCAAGCAGCCATTCAGTATGTGATGGATGTCTTCAAAGTAGACTCAACTGTCTTCATCAGGATGGTGCTGGAGCTGGAGCGAGAGCCAGAACTAGACTCCGAGCTGGAGCCCACCACCGCGCCCTTGCCCACCGCGCCCTTCCCAGAGTTCAAGACGGCACTGGAGCCTCCAGTCACAACGCTAGAGCAGCCGAACCCAAAGCAGCTTTGGCTGCCTCCAAGTCCACAGGTGCCAGCCAGGTCTCCACCGACTCCTCCAGATACCACGGTGCTGCCTCCCACCGAAGCTGCAAGAAACACATCAAGGTCACAGCGGCCTCTTCATTCCCCCTTACCCCTGCCCCCGCGGACCCTTCTCCCCAAATTCAAAGATACTCACAGATTGTCACCTGGCTAGGGCACTCCCCGGACATCCTGCAAGAGAAAGGAGGAGAGGAAGGAATGCTAAGAAAGCCTGCAGAACATGCATCTTCTAGGTTGGTGTAAACCTGAGAGCCGCTGCCTACCCCACTTAGCTGATAGTCTCCAATCCCCAAGGTCAATCCTTCCTGGGGAGCCAAATGCCCTCATGACTCAGTGTCAGGAAAGAGATCAGAACCTCCTTTGTGGGGGTCCATGCACCTGCATCTTTCAGTGGTCACTGTCTCAGACCCTCCATCCCTCTGCCGGTCCCCACCTGTACTCCTCGCCCTCCAGCAGTCTCCGATAGGTGGCGATCTCCGCGTCCAGACACAGCTTCGTGCTCATCAGCTCTTGATAGTCCCGCAGCAGGCGGGCCAGGTCCTGCTTGGCCTTCCTCAGAGCAGCCTCCAGCTCCTCCAGCTTGGCCTGAGCGTCCTTGAGAGCCAGCTCCCCGTGCTGCTCCACATCAGCAATGGCCGACTGCAGGGTGGCATTCTTGGGTGACAGGAAGGGGTGGGAATGAAAAGAAAGTAGTTATGGACCCAACACAGCCTCCCAAAGCTCTCAGTGTGGACATATCTTGAGGGCTGGGGTGGACTTTACATAATCTCATGGGCTCTAACTACCCGAGTCCATTAGTGCCTCTCTTACTACCGGCTCCTTCTACACACTCACCTCTCTGGCTACCTTGTAAGGTCATCTCTCCTACTTCTCCATGTTCAACCTTCAGCAGTGCACCTGAGCCTCTCACATGGAACTTAAGTTCTTCCTGTCCTGTGTAGTTAATTGTCTACAAGTTTCAAGAGGTCCTTGATATTTTCAGAACAGCCCACATGTCAAATGCTTTGCCGTGTATTTAGATCATACAAAATCATATGTCTTCATTTCTAATTTTAAAAATACAATCTCTGTGCCTACCCCTTCAATCTGATTGAAAAATCTTACAGGAAAAAAAGCAGCACCCCTGTAGACATGGGATTGTGTGGCAATCTCCTAAATGCCTTCACCTTGACCCAAGAAAGGAACTCTTGCTGAAGGTACTCTTTATTTTATTCCCACACAATCACCCTGTGGATGAGGAATATCCTAAGTGTTTTATAGATAGAGAAATTGAGATGATACATGGCAGAGAACTAGGACCCCAACTGACAACTCCACCACTGACAGCCAGGGCCCTTTCCTTATGGGAGTCTACAGCATGGGACAACGGAACCCACTTGACATCTATGTGTGAACATAGGAACAAGTAAGAGGATAGCTGTATCCCCAGGAGGGAAGCTCACAGGAGAAGAGCATTGTTATGTGTATATTATTGTACCTTTGAATCAGAACTAACGCAGAGCTGACCCTCCAGTGGATTTTCAGAGGCAGTATAATCTCATGGGAGGAGATTGCCCGTTCTTCTCTTGCAGAGCAGCTGGCGGATTTGAACCACATGCCCTCAGTTTTGCAGTGCAGTTTCTCACCATTAGGCCACCAGAGCTCCCTCCTTATGTGTTAGAGTTATGATATCCAGGTGTGGGCTTAAGGAAAATGAGTGCAAACATGCTTGATAACAATGTTCAATCCTTTCCATTTAGAAATGAGGCCTCTAGTCTGACTAGAAAACTCCTTACATCCCTCTTTGCCACATTCTTCCTCCACCTCTCATTGCTCCTTGCCATACTAGACACCAACAGCATCACCTCTAAACTATGCAAGGCGTCTCCTAGGCAGAAATCCACCACTCACCCCTGCTGCAGGCTCTCTGAGGTCCTGACTCTCGTCCCACCCAAAAGAGAAAAGAAAAAAAATGCTTTCAAGTCGATTCTGCTTCAGAATGACCCATGTGCTTCTGAACGCTGTAGGACTTGAAAAGCTGTGACCTTACAGAAGTAACTCACTAGGCCTTTCTTCCAAACCACATCTAGAAGGATTTAAACTACCAGCCTCCCAGTGGGTGGGCAAGTGCTTAACCATTGGTGCCACCTAGAAACGTGACCTCAACAGGGAACCAAGAATTTCTGTGTTTGATCTTCAAGGCCCTACCAAGCTGAAGGAATGGGAAAAGACAAGAAGAGAGATGAGTGAAGCCCTTTCCCCAAGTCGTTGAAAACAAGACGTACACATGAGGATTGACTACAATGAGAATGGTGCTTCCTGCAGCACTATCCCCCCAAAAGTCAAAATACATGCTAAAATTTAGTAATAAATGCTGGAGAGGATGTGGAGAGATAGCAACTCCTAGACACCATTGGTGGGATTGTAAAATGGTACAACCATTCTGGAAGGTAATGTGGTATTTCTTCTAAAAGCTGAACACAGAAATTCCCTATGACCCAGATATTCCACTGCTAGGAACATACTCTGAGAGAATAAAAATGGAGACACAAACAGAGATTTGTTCACCAGTATTTGTAGCAGTGTTATTCACCATCACAAGAACATGGAACAGCCCAAAAATGTCCAACCACAAACTAATAGATTGAGGAATTATGGTACATTCACATGATAGAATACTACACAGCACACAGGAGCAATGATTTTGAAAACTGCTACCTAATTTTGGAGGGACTGGACTATGCTAAGTGAACTAACTCAGTCCTATAAGGACAAATACTATCGAATACCACTATTGTAGAAATAGAAAGATAACTAGTAAAGCATGTATGAGGATCCAAGGGGGGTGAGAGTGGAAACAGAGGGGTGAGGATGGGCAGAGAAGTAATCATAGAGTTGCACAATTTGATGGGGTGAGTAGAAGAAATGGGAGATCTTCACCCTGAAACCCACAGCGTCCCTTTTCAGCAGGAAGTAGCTAAGAGAATACGCCATCCCCTTTTCCTTTTAT